ACTGGAAGTTTGTACCTCTTGACTCCCTCACTCATTATGCCCATCCCAACCTCCCTCCCCTCTAACAGCCACAAATCTTTGTATTCGTACATTTTGTTTTGTTTTTTCACTTGTTTTGTTCTTTAGATTCTACATATAAGTAAAATCATATGGTATTTGTCTGTCTCTGTATAATTTTCTTTAGCATAATACCCTTAAGGTCCATTCATACTGTTGCAAATGACAAGATTTTATGCTTTTTTATGGCTGAATAGTATTCCATTAATCAAATTACATCTTCTTTATCCATTCATCTACTGATAGACACTTAGTTGCTTCCATATCTTGGGCTATTATGAATAATGCTATAATGAACACCAAGGTGCATATATTTTTTCAAATTAGTGCTTTCATTTTCTTGAAATAAATACTCAGAGGTAGAATTGCTCCACCATATGGCAGTTCTATTTTTAGTCTTTTTGAGGAACCTCCATACTGTTTTCCATTGTGGCTGCACCAACTTACATTTCCACCAACAATGCATGAAGGTTTCCTTTTCTCTACATCTTCTCCAACACTTGTTATTTTTTTTATTTTTGATAATAACCATTCTAACAGGTGTGAGGTGATGTCTTGCTGTGGTTTTGATTTGCATTTCCCTGATGATTAGTGATGTTGAGCATCCTTTTATGTGCCTGTTGTCCACCTGTATGTCTTCTCTGGAAAAATGTCTGTTCAGATCCTCTGCCCATTTTGGATTGCTCGTGGTTTTTTTGTGATTGAGTTGTATGAGCTCTTTATATATTTTGGATGAGGAAGGCTTCTGAGGAGGTTGGGAAAGAAAGCCCATGGATAGAGATTGAGAACTTTAGGAGGTTCTGGAACTTTGGTCACTACCTCCGTTTAATTTTGGTGGCTCTGAAAATAGTAGACCCTTTCACCCATTTGTGACTCATCCACTCATTGATTGATGGATTCATTCATTCATTCATTCATTCATTCATTCATTCATTCAATAGTTAATATGCACTTGCCAAGTGCTGGGCTTTGGAGCAGCAATAGCAGGCAAGATAAACATGGCCACCACCCAGAGAGCTCACATTCTAGAAGAGACTTACAAGTATACGGAAAACACCACATGGTGTGATGAGTACTGAAATTAGGGAAGCGTGGGTATGGGCAAACATGAGGGGCATACAATCTTAGCTAGACAAGGGGCGGGGCTTGTCTTCAAGAACAGAGAAGGGTGTGCAATTAGTTCTAGGGGAAGAGGAATGCCAAGATATGATGGGAAGTGAAGAAACTGTAAAAAAAAAAAAAAAAGGGATCAAGTTTAGGACTTGGAGGCGGCCATTAAAAGGTCCCTCTAAGCTACCCTGTCATGCAAACTTGGCTTCTCTGAGAGCTAGACAGCAGCTTGCACAGTCCAGCACAGAGGGCATGAGTAAATGCTGAATGCGTGAGCGAGTGAGCAAATGGGCCAACAAATGTATTCCTGACATTTGCACTCCTGAGTGATCACTTGCCTAGAGAGTTAATTCTTAATTCTTCAGGCTTACAAAGGGAAGAGTGACAGTGATAATCCTTAAAGAGTGAATAATCAAAACACTATTATCTTTGGCTTTGAAGTTCATGAAATGAGCTTTCCTTTCCCTCTCCTTTCCATGCCCCCTCCTTCTCCCTTCCATGTCCCCTCCCTTTCCAGCCTCACTTCTACTTTTTTTTTTTTTTTTAGCAAAGCTGGATTAACTTTCCCAATCAAATCCACTGAAGTTCATATGCACACGGAATCATAAGTCTTGAGTTCACACTGCGAAGCTGCGAAAGAAAGGCAGATGTGTGTCGGTAGGGGGCAGAGACACGGGACTGGGTTTTACTCCTGACCACGGAAATGTCATCACCCATGTCTTCCATGAGGCTGAACTGAAAGGTCATAACAGGAGGTGGCCCTGGGGCCAAACATGGGCGGGGCCACACATGAGGAGCTACTAGACACGGACACAGGTCTCCATCAGTTATTAACTTATTCAAACACCCGCTGTGCTCCTCCTCTGCACCGAGCACTGTGGTAACTGATTCCAAAATGCTTTCAGGGCATTTCTGAGCTACAGGAGAAAGAGATTCTAAACCCAGTACAATGTGATATATACACAAAAAGGGAAAAGTAGGAACAGGAAGGAGCAAGACCTCGAGGAGTTAGGAAGGCTTCTCAGAAGAGGGGGTATTTTAATTGTGTCTCAAAGGGGAATAAGGAATTTGCCTGGAGGAGAAGGGAAGGCACACTGGGACAGGATGTGCCTGGACTGAGGTCTTAGCAAGGTTGAAAGCAAGAAGAGAATATTTATTAGACAAAACCCAAAAGAAAGCTGATGTAATAGCTGGGAAAAAACTTTAAAACATTACTATAGATAAAGAGAGTCATTACATAATTATGAGATATATAATTCTCAATTTGCATGATCTCATAACATAGTCCCAATATATATAAAGCAAAATTAAGAGAACTTTAGGAATAATAGACAAAAGCCATCATAGTGGCTTTTGTCTATTATTCCTAGCATTCTCTCATCATAGAGGGAGGTTTTAGTATGCCGTCCTCTGCAGCTGTCTGATCAAGAAGATAAAATCAATGAAGATATAAAGAATACTAGCATAAGCACAATCAACAAGCTTGATGCAATAAGACACAAAAACTACAAAATACGCTTCATTTTTCCAAGTACACACAGAATATGTATGAAAAAATGACCATTTCTGGTCCAAAAGGCAAGTTTCAACAAATTTCAAATGATTCAAATACAATTTTCTCTGACCACAAGCTTTAGAACCAGTAACAAAAAGACAGCTAGAAAAACCCTTTGTTTGAAAATTAGGAACTACTTCTAAATAAGCTGTGGGTTGAAAGATGAAAGAGTAATGGAAATTGGAAAATATTCATAACTAAACTATAATAGATACACTATGCATAAAAACCTGTGGGAATGTAGCCAAAATAGTTCTTAGAGGGAAATTTATAGCATTAAATATTTAAATAAGATTGAAAAATAATAAATTAAGCATTGACATTAAGATGCCAGAAAAGAATAACAAGATAAATCCAAATATAATAGAAAAAAGTAAAGATGAGCAGAAAATGATGAAATAGAAAATAAATATATCAAAAGAAGTATTAAGAAAATCAAAATTGGTTCTTTCCAAAAATAGTAAAATGTAAAACCTCTGGCAATATTGATAAAAAAGATACAAAATAGAAATGAAAAGGGGAGTAAAAATATATAATAAAAGATAGTATGTACAACTTTATACCCAATAAATTAGAAAACTTAATAAAATGGCTTCAAGAAAAAACAGATAATATAAATAATCCTTTAGTCATAAAAAGATAAACCTATAGTTTCAAATCTTCCAAAAAAGGAACATCAGACCCAGATAATTTTCCTGAAATGTTGCACAGAACTTCCAAAGCTATTCTAATCTTCCACTTTTAGTTCCATAGAACAGAAGAGGGGAAACACTCTCTACATTATTTTATGAGATTAGCAATATTTGACAAAATTATCTGGCAAGGGTAATATAAAAGTCCAATCTCACTAACAAAATAGAAGCAAATTACTAAATAAAATATTAGCAAATCAATTATAGGCATGTATAAAATTGATAATGCTAAATGACCAAGTTGAGTTTATACCAGGAATGTGAGGTTGGTTTAACATCAGAAAAGTCAACCCATGTAATTCACCATACTAAGAAAATAAAGGAGCAAATCATATTAATAAGTATACAAAGGTTCTTGATAAAACTCAACGTCCATTCACAATAAAAGTTTTTAGCAAACTAAGATTAGGAAAAAACAAATAAAAAAAAGCTTCAGCAAATATCATAATGATGAAGAATATTCTATTAACAGCAAACAATGACAAGAGTGCCCACCATCATCACAGTCATTTGACATTATATTTGAGGTTTAAGTCAGAACGTTGGGGCAAGAAAAGAAATGAAGAGAAGGTATAAGGACTGGAAAGTAAGAAATAAAACCATCATTTTTTGAAGATAATGATTGTCTTGTAGAGAAAATCTCAAATAATTCACAGATAAATTATTACAAAAGAGTTGCTATATACAAAGATCAAAGAATAAAAACTAATTGTATTTTAAACATCAGCAAGAAATAGGTAGAAAATAAAAATTTAAAAGATATGATTTATAACAGCAACAACAAATATAACACATTTAGGAGTAAATATGTTAAGAAATGGTACAAGATCTATAATGGAAAAATTTCAAAAGTTTATTGAAAGCCATTAAAGAAGTCCTAAGTCAATAGAGAGAAATACCATACTCATGGACCAGAAGACTCAGAATTACAAATATAAGCATTCTTTTCTAATTGATCTATAGTTTGGTATAACTAAAGATTCCAACAGGTTATTCTGTGGATCTTGGCAAGACACTTGTACAATTTATGAGAGAACAAAGGGCATGTCACCAAAAAAGAGAGAACTAAATGTGAAATAAGTGTGTGAAAAGATGTGTATAGCATTGCAAAACTACACACAACAACATAGATAAATCTTAGGGACATAATTTTGAGTGAAGTTGATTAAGAATATATACAACATGACTACCTTTATATGAAGTTCAAATGCTGGCTTACTAGACAATGTATTTTTAAGAATACGCATTTATGTGTAAACTGTAAACAAAGGAAGAGGAATGATAAGCACACAATCAAGGTAGAGTGTGCCTGAGGGATAGGGAATGGGATGGGGCTGGTGAGGGATATACATCACGTCACTAACGTAACTGGGATTTGGCTATGCAGGTGTCTATTGCAGTGATGTTCTTTATATCTAACTTATATTTTGCTTTTTATCTACTTGATATTTAATAAAAACAATTTTAAAGATTTGCCTACAAAGAACCCAGCACAACCAAGTTCTGAGTTTGAAACCCTTGTAGACCAACTGTCTCCAGCCAAGCCCTGCCCACAGGACACCACCCACGCTCCTCAGGAGCCTCACCTTGGCAGGGTTGAGTGCTGTGATGATCCACACACAGTGTGCGTTGTTGTCATATTGAATGGGGAAGTTGGGGGACGTGATGATGCCTGAGGGACCTCGAAGGTGGGCATCACACATGCGGGCTGCAGAGAGAAGATCAAAGTTTCGTTTAGACGAGGTCCAGTTCCCATCCCCACCTCTCACCCCCAGCCCAGAAGAGACTGAAGTCTGTACAGTCTCCACCCAGGTATAACCTTCTGCTTTTTGCTTTCTTCCCTCATAGTTCTCAGTGGGTTCAGAGGGAAGTCACAGTTCCTGGAGCACTGGGGTAGGGGGAGGCCCCACATGCCCTGCCTGCCCTGCTGCCCTGTGCGCAGCGATGAGCTTCCATGGTCAAGCTAAGCCAGCCCCCAACCCCAACTCCACTGTGATCAGCAGCTCAACTCTACCAAGAGGGTGTGGCCTGGTACTCCTCATGTCACCTAACTCTGGGTGGGCCCCAGACATCTGTAGGCCTGCTGAGGTGCCCATGCTTTGCTCTGCTGACCTATGCTTCCCCGTTTGCTCTCAGGCCTCCTGAACTAGAATCTCAGGGCGTCCTTGTCAAGGCCACCTCACTAGGTCTCAGAATGTCTGTGCCCAAGGACTCTGCCAAGGCCCCCAGCTCAGCCTGGACCAGGCAACCTGAGTGACCTCAGTGCCAATCAAAACCTCCCCACTTCCCCCTCCGCACATGCCCAAAACAGGCTTTTGACGGGAAGCATAAAGATTCAAGGTGAATTAGAAGAAGTGCTCTACTCAAGTAGATATAAAGTGTTATCAATCACAGCTTAATCTAATTAAGCCCCTTAAAATAGCTTCTGAGCTAATTAGATTAAGTAGTGATTGGTAACAGTTAAGGTACTACATTGTACCTAGGTGTTTGCCTTCTTTAAAAACGTGTTCTTTAGTTCTAGCCACTTCATTCTTCAATGTTAGCGCTCAGCTATTTTAATAAAGAGTTCTATGAGCCTGTTCCATTGCTGCCCACATGGCAATTTATCCTAATTGTAGGCAAAGTGCCGAAAGGTAAAGAAATAGTGAGCAGACGCAGCAAGCCTAAGTATATGAAATGAAAGTGGTGTCAAGCCTGGTTTCCTCTGATGGGGCAACACATCCTGGAGCTCCTCTCTGTGTGTGGATGGGGCCAGGATCCACCTTTCCCAGGAACCCTTCCTGGAGGGTCTGGGAAGCGGCTCCCGCAGCTTCCGGACATAACTCATCTCTTCTCATTTCAGACGCTCATTCCTGCACTCACTCATTCCAATGTTTATTGAGTGCCTAACAGGGGCCAGGCAGAGTGTGGGGAGAAAAACCATCTAAGACGCAGCCCTCTCTGCAGGGCCAGCAGCTCGTGGAGGGAGCAGGTACGGAAACAGCATCAGGCGGAGCTGTCGGAGAGTTATCTGCGAGAAGTGGCTGGGTCCGAATGGCTCCTTCTCTTCTAGTTCGTCACTGTCAGTGGGGCAGTTCCTGGTGGCATGCCCGCAGCCTGGCACCCAAAGGGTCTTCTCCCTCCTTCTGAGCTCAAAGGTCAGTTAAGTCTAGTTTAAACAAGGGCCTAGAGCAGTGATGGCGAACCTTTTGAGCTCAGCGTGTCAGCATTTTGAAAAACCCTAACTTAACTCTGGTGCCGTGTCACATATAGAAATTTTTTTTCTATATGATATTTGCAACCACAGTAAAACAAAGACTTATATTTTTGATATTTATTTGATATATTTAAATGCCATTTAACAAAGAAAAATCAACTAAAAAAATGAGTTTGCGTGTCATAGGTTCGCCATCACTGGCCTAGGAGAATCCTCTCCTCCATTCCCCTTGTGGGCGTCCAGCTGCTTCTGTAAGTCTGTGCTGAGAAACACCTCAATTCACAGGTCGTGCTTGATACAACTGGGCCTGAAGGCAGCTGCCATGGTGAGGAGAGTTCTCTTTTATGCTGACATGCCCTTTGTTCTCTCATAAATTTCACTAGTCCGGACCCCAAGACCCTCACCAATGGCGTCCTCAACACTCTCATTTCTGCCTTTTATTAACTCTACCATCCACCTTTTCTCTTCCTAATCCTGGATGCGAGGTGCTGTTCCTATTGGGTTTTAAATTTACTTGCTTTAAAGAAGTTAGAAAACCTCTCTGATTCTATTCTTCACCTGTAAGATGGGGCTAGTGACATCTCCCGAGGAGGCATGATAGGATGCAGGTACCTGAGATAATGGATGTGAAGGCTCACCCAGGACCTGGAGCATCGTCAATATTCAGCAAAGGGGAGCAGAGACTGTGGGACTTCCCATGCCTGTTCATTCCATTTCACGATGCCCAAGATTTCTCTCAAGGCCTGAGAGCTTTTTCTACCTTTCCTGAAGTTGCTTTATGTAGGACTTTTCCCCGTGACCACACTTGAGACGGACATTACTAAACTAATTTGAATAAGATCATCAAAACCAAAGCCTTGACCCCAGCCTACCTCTTCGAAGAGGACCTGTGGATCCAGAGCCCTAGCTCTGGGGAACCCTCAACCTCCACCAGCACCATCTTACACCTCCTCTGGAAAGCCAGGTTTCGCTGCCTTAAAAGCCCTCAGCCTCAGACTCAATTTATCCTGCACTTGTTTCCAAAAATTAGATGGTATTTTCAGTCTGTTGAAATATGCTGAAGGTAATTAGAGAGAACAGGTCAAACAGGCATTTACCACTTTAAGAGCTTAGAGGGAATTAATTAAAATATTACATTCTGCAGATATTTAGCATGAAGCACCTTAAAACAGCTTCAGAATGGAGCATCAGCTACTTTTTTTCCTCTGCTGTCTGGGCGAGGTCAGGGGGTCCGTGGACAGACTTCCCCCTGAACAGCCGGCCCCTGGGATCCCACCAACAGATGGCTAGCTCATGGCTGCAACCCACACGGGCTGACAAAATGGTAGATGCTCAGACAAGGTCTGAATTAATGAATACACACATGTTGATGTTTCTCTCTTTGCCTTTTCGCATCATATTTTCTGCTGGATAGCTTTCAGACTTCTCCATAGCCTTCCATGTCTGAGCTCTGCAGCCACTCCCTCTCTTCCTCTGGACATCACTACCTTATAACAGGGTGGTATTCCAGGGGACATTAGGAGGAACGATCGGGACTCACAGCCAGTTCTGGCACTGCAACAACTTGGCACCAAAAAGGAAACTGCTTCAGATGCAAATGCCTTTGGCCTTCTATCTTCTCCCCAAAACGGATTCCCATACTATTCCATGCTATCCTCCCTTGCTTCTCCTACTACTGACCTGCCTCCTCCTCCTGTCCACGTTCCCACCACCAAGTCTAAGGCAAACCAACCTGGCTGGCATCTGCAACATCTCTCAGTACCTCCTGCTCCAGCTCCTGCCTTAATCGAAGCCTGTCTCCCCCTCCCCAGTCCACTGCTTCCTCTGCAGCCCTCTGTAGTGGAGAGCTTTCTCTCACCTCCTGGAGGTCATTGCTCCATAAACAGTTGCTGAACCCCTGGAGGAACTCCACTCTGACTTTCGTCTAGACCTCATTCCACTAACACCAACATTTTTTCTCCACCCATCAGCTCCCTGTCTCCTCTTCTGTCCTTATCAAACCTAGAGCCCATGGTCCACCATGATGATTATTTTCTTGCAAATCCATCCAAGTCTCTTGCTCCTTTTTCCTTTCATCAGTTGCCTGAAAGACATCAATTCTGGATGAAGCTCTCCACCTACATTCTCTAGATCTGCCCCCATAAGGTTGAGCTTTTTGGAGAAAAATCACATGAGCAGGAAGATTGACATCACTATAAATTCCTGATTATTCACCTTAAAAAATCCTAGATATTTCCCAGCAACTCTGCCATTTAGCTCTATTGAGCTCATTCTCCTACTCTGTACAAAGAACCTTTCATTCCTTCTAACTGCCCCTCGGACCTCTCACCCTTCCTCTTGTTCCGCTTACTCTCAGTTGATGACCTTGCTTTAGTCTTTATGGATGAAACAGACAACATCTGGCAGGCACATACTCTCTCTCATCCCCCATTCTGCAATCCTGTGTGCTTATGTGCTCATCTTCCCTTCAGTTCCTTTGCCTTTTAGAGGCCAGTCCTCCTACCCAAAGTCATCCATGTCCTTGGCCATACCCAGGATTTGCTGCTCTGGGCCCAAGAGAGCCATCTGTGAAATCTTAAACTCCATCATCCCATTCTCTCCCCTGCCGCCTATGCACCCAGCAGAGCAACTTGATCTTGAGGTATTTGCTATCCTAAAATCATAGGCCCCTCTAGCCTTCTGGTTCCCTCATTTCCCCTCATCTTTCAATCCCCTGCTGATCATTCTTCTTTCACTAGTCTGGACCTCAAGACCCTCACCAATGGCTCCTTCAACACTCATATACTAGTATGCCTTTGATTAATTCTCCATCCACCTTCTCTATTCCTAATCCTGGGTGCCAGGGTGCTGCTGGAGCACCGTGGTACCACCACGGATTCATGGTTTGCCATTGTAATTGAAGCTTCTGCTCAAGTCAGTCCTTTTCCTTTTCTTTGCTCAGTTTCCTCGACAATTTCTTACAAGAAAAACTTCAACCATTTGCCACTCAGTTGGAGACACATAACCCCAATTGACCTCTCTGGAGGATCTAACCAGAGTGACCCTTCTCTCTTGGTGAAACTCGCATTCATTGGCTTCTGTGATGCCTCTCTGGCCCTTCTCAGCTCCCTTCTTGGCCATTAACTCATTGAAAGTAGTTGTTTGGATTTGGGTAGAGAGTACAAAGGAGTTCTTTGCACATTTCCTGCAAAATTTCTGTGAGTTTACAATTTTAAATAAAAATTTAAGTTACCAAAAGGTGGGGGAGAAAGATGTTCTCCGTGGTTCCATCCAACAAACTGACTCTGAAGGATGTGCAGGTACAATTTTCAGGAAGTGTAGGATGGAGCCTTTGGAGTCAGGGTTTGAATTCCAGCTCCACCGATTAGCTTTGTGCCCTTGGGCGAGTAGACTGACTACGCCAAGCCTGAACTAACATGAAATATGGATATTGCCACATTCTTCATAAAGAAATTATGAGGAATGCCTACTACAATGCTTTATACAAGTATAAATAGCTCAATAAATGGGAGCTTTATCGTTAGTGCACATGGGACTCAGGGAACCATGAAGGGAGAAGAGAGGAGGTAGGTGTAGGCTCAAGGTAGGAGTGGGGGAAAAGGAGGTGAGGAGGATGAAAACTCAGAAAGTTGGTGTTTAAGGAGTAGGCCCAGGAAGCTGATCCAGCAAAGGCCACCAGGAAGGAAGATAGTCACCTGCAATTTTCATGACCTTTAGTTTAGCTGGTTGGTGCCATATTTTCCATGTTTCATTCCCATTGTGTGAGAATGAGGGAGGAGATTCAGAGCAGTTCAGTGACTTGCCCTGGGCTATACGGCACGCAAGTTAACAGCAAGGTTGGAACTTGAACTTAGGTCTGAGTCCTGAGTCTGGTGTTCTCGCTACCATAAAGGTCTGTATTTTAAACAGATATGTAAATGTGCATGTATGTAATATGTGTACATAAATATATACGTATGTATACAGCAAATAGTGGGTTTCTCCACAAAGGATAAAGAAATGTATTGTTTTCTGTAGATTACCTCAGTAATTGTAAGTATCTCCTCTGGGGCTGGTACCGAGTCCTATTCTCTGTCAACCCCAATTTGTGGTCACAAGAAACCAGGTCTCCTGGTTGTCAATTTGGTCCTCTTCATTCTATCAGTGGTTTATAAACAGTGTTCCCCAGAGCCTCAGGGGTTCCTTGGAGGTGGCTTAGGGGCTGCCGAGAGTGGTGAGCTGCGAGCAACTCCCAATCTCCTGTCCCTATTGTAGTGCGAGACCTCCCACCTACATCTGTTTTATTTTCTGTGAAATCTCACTTTAAAATATTAAGCCCCATATATAAAATAAGTCCAGTAAGCCCCCTATTATATATACTGTTCTGCCTCTATCTGGGGCTGAATGGAGTGTGTATAACAGTGCTCAGGTGCCCTCAATCTCCTTTGGAAGATCACAATTTTCTAGGGGTCAAAGTAGATGCTTATTTCTTTGGGTGGGAGGAAAACAAAAGAAAGGCCTGTGAATGCCTGATGCCAGATTCCAAAGTGAGGGCACAGTGCCACAGCATTCATTGATTTTAATCACCGATTCATGCAGGTCGTCTTGAAACATTTGTGGAGAGCCTATTATTTGCCAGGCCTCGTGTTTTAGTGTAATTAACTGTGTGGACAAGGAATATTTAAAATCACATCACAATTGAAATGCATTAGAGAAACAATGCCGCTATGTGTGTGGTGACAGATCCTTTTCAGAATGTGATCTCTGGGTGACCTGCTATTAGTGCAGCTATCCTGGAATTCAGAGTTTTGTCCCTTTTTTATTCTTAAAGTGAGGTTTACTTAAACTCAAAACTAGAGATTTGAAAAGAAAAACTTTCAAAACTGCCCAAATAAAAGGACCCTTGAATCTAATATCTATCTCAGCCCTTGGCCTTCAGTGCTGCCCGGGACAGCTGGTCAAAGCTCAAACCCAGGAGCCTTTGCCTTCGCTTTCCCTGCCTCACGATGATCTAGGGGAGAGAAGCAGGGAGGAGGGAGCGGCAAGAAGGCGAACCTGCCCTGAGAACCCCTCTCCACTGCAGTAAGTGCTGGCCACTCTCTATAACGTGGCTTATTTACATTTTGCCATCACTAAGCAGGGGAAGTTCTGGTTTCCCAGTTCACAATGAGGGCCCTGTGGCTAAAACAAAGATGAAGGAACCTGCCCAGGGCCAGCAAGCTAATGGGGGCAGAGTTGTGATCCAGATCAAAGTCTGTGTGCCTCCAAACTGTGCCATTGCAATGTGATCTGGCGAGACAGTGAGGGACAGGCTTTTAAAAGACCCAGCGGCAGCTAGAGGCTGTGGTGGGCCCCCAGGCGTGGGGAAGCTAAATCCCAACAGTGTTTAGCAGTTTAAACCAAGCTTGTGTGCACAAAAGCCTCAGAGCCACACTGGGATGTTTCTACACAAAAGCTTGCAGTCCACTGCCTCATCTAGTCCTTGCTGTAATGTCACAAAGTAATTTTCTATAATCTGCCTTTAGCAGGAGAAGAAGAGATTCAGAGAGGTAAAGACACTGGCCCCAAGGACAACTAAAAAGTGGTGATGGTTGCGTTGGAACCCAATTCCCCTGGCTTGGTTTTCCATGATTCTTCCCAGCTGCATAGTGGCCAGCGGATAAAATC